TGCTTCTTAAAAAGCTCCATTTCTTAACTTACCTCTGTACCCAGGGTACTCAAAAAGTTTTGATAATTATTTTCTACCAATCATTTTGAATGAAGTATTAAGAACACTGACATTGATATCAAGAAAATTCCAGTTTTCAGCCTTGATTTTAAAATAACATTTTCATACCTTTCTGTTCTATCACAGAAAAACATTTTTCTAATTGATTTTCCAAATCAAACAATATCACAACTTCTGCTGAGATATATGCATGCCTGCTGATGAGATTCTCTCTTCATCTTTTTTAAATATAATATTGTCTCTGTGATAATTGAAAATGATTTACATTCAGACAGTTAGTAGGTGTATATATAATGTAGTAATTAATATTTGTCATATATGATAAACTGAAAAATATTATTTTAACATTTTAATGTATTGAAGTGTCTCCTCTGAATCATTCTCGAATTGCTGCCCGAATTCTGTCAAATGTTGGTCCAAATGTTTCAATATTTCTCTTATTTCTATAAATACATGGAAATGGGTTTATAGGGAGGCAGGTGTTTATATTGACAATCTCAAGTGGGTGCATCACCACTTTCAAGTGGGTGCAACACCCACTTGCTCCAATCAATTCAGCGGTGGCGGTAGGCATATATTTTTGTGAGTCATCATGACTCAGGTAGTTTAAAAAAAGTGAGTCACAAGAAAAAAAGTTGAGTCAAAGCTATAAAAGTGTTTTTCTTGAGTAAAAATGCATACAAAATGTAGAAACCACATACAAAATCTATTTTTTGATTTTGTGCATACCTTTTATTGTACTCTTATAGCACATTAACAACTAACAATTAATTAATTAGTCAATTGCAAGAAAAATGTCACTATTATCATCTGATTATCTGGTCCAGCGAGTCATGGGTGTGAATGGAGCGGGAGAGGAGTTTCTCCCTGTGTGGAGTTACACAAATTGGGGTCAAAGCGTTTCATGTTGAAATTCAACTGCAATCATTCCAAAGTCTAAAACGGCAATATAAGTCCAACCACAATATTGGGCATCATTTAAATTGAATACGGTAGAATCTTGTAATTATAGCTGATCAAATGAAACCGAAAGTAGATTTGTTTTCATACCTAATTTATCATCATTACCCCCCTTAATGTGCGATCGACTGGATTTTCATGTGCCCATTATCTATCTTCATAGGATCAGCTTCAGATCTAGTGAATCGAAGATCTTAACTTGAGGGAGTTAATTGAAAATACTTGGTGAAAACTTACGATAGATCGGTCACTGTGAGCACCATTGATAAACCTACTGCGCATTACATCTGCGCATGCTGATGAAGGGGACGGCTCAAGGAAACTTGCTAACTTAGCGAAGGAATTTTGCGAACTTGCGAAGGAAACTAAAGGTTCGTAAATCTAGCGTGTGAACATTCAAGGGAAGATTTTATGCGGTAATTTAGATAAATATACGATCACTAAAATCCTTAGAAGGGAGTATGAAATTAAAAATTATTGTTCAATGTTATGTTCGTTTTATTGCATTTTTGATACGCCCCCTAGCAACGTGCTTCACGAGATAAACAAATCGAGGGATCGATCAATGTTTTCAAGTTTATCATTGAATCTGAATCACAGGGCTTTAAAAATTATATGAAATACCAAAATGAGAAAATGATCGGTAGGAAGGAGGCTCGATTGCGCTGAACGAAATGTTAGATTTCCGGAATTAGCAAAATTATAAATTTGATCAATCACATATTTTCACGTATAGGGATCAATTTAATCAAGTACCAAGCAGGGATTTTGCATGTGAAACAAACGTGCGTCAGAAAGACTCGGTAGACAATGAATATTTGCGTCAGAGTTGCAAAAATGTGAGTAAAAAACGTAAAAAATTGCGTTAACGCCACCTCTGCAATTTATTATCATTAAACTGAAAAAAATATAGCTGTAACCTGCAGATCAGTTATTACATCATATAGCTAAACATTCAATTATGAGCTATTGCAACGTAATCTTTAATTGTCATTTTTCATTTTCATCATTCTATTTTTTCTAAAAGTATTAGGATCTGAAGCATTCCGTTACAATAAGGCAAATGAGACTACAAACATAAATAAATTAAGAGGTAAAAGTGGGATTCTCTTCTCCACCAACTTACATCAATAACATACCATTGTATCAAATGGCCATTTCCGTGTAATACCACGATTTCACTTGACACAAATTGCTGTATATATTGCCACTTATTCACCTAATGTTCTAAATGATTCAACATACTGTCGTGACAACAATCCATCGGAGCTAAAAATGTGCCTCGTTAACTAAATATGCCCATTTTAGAGAACATGTATGCAGTAACTTTGAAATTCTCATCATATAACTGATTCATTATTTTGACCTTAAGATTTTTAATTCATTCAAGTGACATATTTCATTAATTTTTCTGAAGATATAATAAGCATTACTATTCCATATATTTTTTTGATTATTAATCAAGAATAAAGATTGCTTAAACATATAGGCTAATATAATTACATAAGATAACCCATATATTGAGGCCTCTCAGAAATGGATCTGTGGGATTTCATAAGTCCCACTGAGGCGATGTATATCCCTAGCATCAATCAATAAACCTTGTGCGTCATTCTATCATTATAGTGTTTGTGTTGTGGTATTAGATAAGCTCATATTTTTCAATAATAACATGTGGTCAAGAGAAACCTCTTGTAAATTACATGGAAATAAAATCAATACGTGTAATCTAAAAATAACAAAATGATGCCTAAAGGCAGTAGTCATTCTTGGAAAAGGAAGTAATTTGCTGTTTATTTAAAAAGTGTTTTAGGAAGTTAGGAAGGATCATTAAGAATGCCAAGAGGATGAATGTAAATACAGTGAACTGGTGAAACCTGTAAAGTGGAATACCACTATAAATGGAACACCGTTGTTAAAAGTTTTCAGAGTCCCAAGACCAACTGTTACTGACTAATTGTTATATGAACCTCAAAGTCTATGAGTGGAACACATCCCAAGTAGAACACATTTTAAAGGTTGAACAAATGGAAACAACACTTAATTATTGGAAAATATCATTTTGAAGTTCAGTTACAAGAGTCCTCAAAACAACAGGCGATAACTGCAATTATTGTAAAAACTACTTCAGAAGAAAATTGCATGTTATTTTTGCTGCCAAAAAACTGAATGTTTTTTCATTTCATTTATAATTACTGTACATTGAAAAAATGGTAACTGTAGTAACCCAATATTATTGTTGCTTACAAGATTAGGTTCAGTAGTACTTGAGCTAAGTTTCTTTTTGATAAAAACCATATGTTTTGACCAAAAGTGGGGAATGCATATTTAATACCACTTAATGCCGTATTGAACCTTTATCGTTTATAGATTTTACCTTCTGGATGATATGGTCAACACAAGTTTAATTTTGAATACCGTACTTTTTAAACACCTTTCAAAAAATATCAGATGTTGTAAATAAATTAGGTTCTTTAAACTAGTACAAAAGCAAGATTAAATTATAAAGGGTAACTGAAGGACTAGAAGCAGGACTAAATAAGCTCAAGAAAGTGCATTTCTTTTTGTATGGATATTGAGTTAATTGATGTGGTAGGGAGATATACCATAGTTTATGTACATGTATACTATATTGAGAAATGTGTGATTTGTGAGCCAAAACTGTAGGGATATAAAGCATGTCAACAGTGAACACAATCAGAACAAATGAGACTACTATTCAATGTTTCATAGTACGCAAATTAGTATCTTAATCAAGGGCTGGAAAATTGCAAAACTCTAATAATCCTACTCATTGGAGCCACAATAGCCTTGGCCAGGAGGGGGATCTTTTTTCCAGGGGGGAGAGCTTTTTATGATTTTGGCTAAAAATCATACATAAAATTCTCAGAATGGTGAAAAACTGCATGATTTTGAAAGAATTTCTGGCCAGGGGAGCGGAGGGGGGAGCTTCTGCTCCCCCTCTGGCTACTGGCCTGAATAATATATATAAAAAGCTGGAAATTCTTTACGGCCATTTAAAAATAAACACAACTGACAAATACAATTACCAGAAACATATATAGTGAAATTATAGCCAGAATCACTAGAATCTAAACACAAATTCTCTAGATAAGTTCATGTGGTGAAAATAACGAAATAATGAAATGTTACCGTGTGTCTACTTAGCAGTTTGTTCTATGTCATCCATCCTGCTAGGTTACATTGTGGAACGCAGCCAAACACGACAATGAAGGCAACAACATGTCGATGTTGATCTTAACAGAATTTTTGGAAATTTAGATCGGCCATTTTGCAAACTCACGTGACTAACACGTGACACGTGTCTGATCACGTGACTAGTTACTGTATCGATCATGTGACTTAATCACGTGTCAATAACGTGTCACTCAACCATGTCTTCAAGGAAAACGGAAGTAAATATTTTGGAAAATGTTTTCCGAGCATTTGCTACTGATTATAGAAGGCCCAATTATGCAACGAACGAAACTACTAAATTGTATTTCGTGCCTAACAGGCCCAGTACGCAATGAAAGAAACTGCTAAAAATTGTATTTTTAGTCTGCTTATTGATCTATTGATTCATAAAGACCTGAAATGATGCATTCAAATAAGACCGCCTCCTAAATGAAAACACTACACATAAGTGGTGAAAAACAGCGAACTAAAGTTGAAAGATCGCAACGTTCGCTATTTTGTTCAGTTCCGAAAGTCTCCAAGAAGAAGGGAAATTTTTACGATTTAGATTTTATAACCTCAGAATACTGCCTTCATTGTCGTGTTTGGCTGCGTTCAACAACGTAACCTAGCAGGATGGATGACATAGAACAAACTGCTAAGTAGACACACGGTAACATTTCATTATTTCGTTATTTTCACCATATGAACTTATCTAGAGAATTTGTGTTTAGATTCTATCACTGATAAGACTCCTAAAATTGGCCAAGAAATAATGACGTTGTCAAAGTGATTGTGCTTACCTTTCGTGTGTTTTCCAGGATTTTTGGCAAATTCAATAACAGTCAGTCTGTTGTTTTTGGGAGTTTCTCCAACTGATCCATCCTCTTCTTTTAACTCATACACTTTTGTAATGTCAGGACATTTGTTGTGAACCTCATTCAAAGTGTCAACAATTCCCTTGAAATTGTGGTGCTTCACCTCGAAACCTGTGCACCTTCCTGAGAATATTATAGGCACGAAGGCCAAGAAAACCACGGCTATTTTCATAATATTGAAGCCGATACTCTTATTTTGTGTGTTAACCCAAATAAGAAAGAAAATATGGAAACACAAAAATTCAGCTTCTTCCTTTCCAAAATGTTTCTGAATGACGTCAATGGGAGCTCTTCGTATTTCGTTTTCCAATTAGTATAAAAAGGTGCGCCACCTATCCATACTTTCTCGCTGAGTCTCAAAATAAACCAAAACTTTTAGGGTTGAAAGAAATTTATTTTCCAACCGCATCAAGAATAGTGCACGCCATTTGTGTGTCTGGTCACGTGAAACTTAGTTCAGGTATGTATAGGTGCCAAATGTATGAAAGAAACATGAAGAGAACGACTCTCGTAAGATTTTTTTAGTATCAGGAATTTCAATTCAATCTTGTCACGTGGATTTGTAATTATTTTGTCCCCGGGATTTTGCCACCACTCTGTTTATATCCTCTAGTCTGAATGTACACATTCTTGGTGTGTCACGAGCTCATTGTGACAACTTGTGAACGTTGAGTTTTATATTTGTCCCACACTGTACCTAAAAAATCATCCATTCTGAGTCCACGAAAGTAACGTTTTATCGGCAAAGTACTGTGTTTTGAAAATGCCTACCTAAAAATCATCAATTCTTCGAGGAGAAAAGTTAGAGTCCAATAAAGTAACGTTTTTAAGGCAAAGAAACGTGTTTTGAAAATGCCTAATATAAAATCATCGATCCTTCAAGGAGAAAAGTCCAATAAAGTAACGTTTTTAAGGCAAAGTAACGTGTTTTAAGAATGCCTACATAAAAAATCATACATTCCGGCTTTTGTGGGGAAAAGTTAAAGTCCAATAAAGTAACGTTTTATTGGCAAAGTACTGTGTTTTGAAAATGCTTAATATAAAATCATCCATTCTTCGAGGAGAAAAGTTAAAGTCCAATAAAGTAACGTTTTTAAGGCAAAGTAACGTGTTTTAAGAATGCCTACTTAAATGCCTACAAAAATCATCCATTCTTCGTAGAGTATGGTTAAGTATCATACATAAATGCCTACATAAAACATCATCTATAGTCATGTTTGACTTTCCATAATAACAAAACGAAAAAAACGGTACTTTTAAAATGTCAATATTTTCTGTCCCTATATCTTGACACTGTTGGGATTTTGCCACCACTCTGTTAGACTATATCCTGTAGTCTGAATGTACGCCTTTCCGATTCGAAGTTCCTGCCAATGCCCCTACAATGGCGGGTTTGTGTGAAACACCGGGTGACAGGGTAACCAGGTGACTGGGTACTCTACCTTCCTACCAGGGTTAGGAATTAGATTTTCTCATTTTATGCCTCAAAACGCCCAACTGACATCCCAATCAACGTACCAGTGGCACAACCAATCAAGCAAACAAGCAACAAAATTTTTTTACCAATAAATCAACCGGCAAACAAAATTATATAATGTCGATCAGTGAGGCAATAAATCAAGCAACTAACTTTGTATTGTACATCGTACACTAATTAACAAATAAAAACGGGGAAATAACATCTACTAATATCTAGTAGAAATCGCCATCATAGAAGACAATCATCGATATCCTATCAATCACTCAGACAATAAATCAAGCAACTAACGTCATCGCACATGTAAACTGTGTAAATAATTACCTAGGACTTCCGAAATCAGTCCCTTACAGATTCTTGGTAAAATGATAATGTAAAAATATTGAAGGGTAGTCTACAAATGTGCAACTTTGAAAGTTGGTAACCATGCAAGGAACGTTAAGTACCCGGCTACCCGGTCACTCGGTTTTTTACACAAACCCTACAATGGCCATGGGTTACTCAGAGAAGGCTTAGGACCGAAGTAAGCCATGTTTTTTTTAATTGATTTCTAATTAGTTATTGGGTGTAGCCAGCTTTCAGGGATGCATAGATGCACTTGTAGTGTATAAGCTATAGCATGGCCGTCAGATGGGGGGGGGGGGTGCGATGGGTGCGACCGCACCCCCCTCTGAGACCCCCCAAAAAAAGAAGTGCCCAGAAAGCACCAAATAGCATCTTAAATTGTAAAATTTTCTAGGGGGAGTGGGCCACCCCTCACACCCCCCACAAAACAATTGAAAAGTTCTGAATTTATTTTATGTATTGTCTTAGACTCTTTTAAAGTGCCCAGACATCATCAAATAGCTCCTTGACACTCTCCCATGTATACCGTTCCGTATAAGTGAAATTGTTGACATTAATACGGAATAAATCATACCATTTCATGAAAAATGGTGACCTTGTCCTACGGAAATTGAGATTATGTTTCACAGCAAGTTCGCATGGCGATACTGTATAGCACATGCTCTGGGGAATCGATTCTACTTTCTATAGACACCAATCACATCTCTGTCGATAGAATAATAAAAAAGCCTTAGGGTCCCAACCTCCTTTGTTTACATTTACAAAAACGTGAAAAAATGACAAAAGTTGTCATAACTTTTTAAATCTTAAACTTTTGAAACCGATTTCACTCGCCAGCGACAGATACTTTAGTCGTTGACGAACCGAACATGTCAGTTTGGTTCGTAATATCTCCAAATAAACAATTTCAACATTTTAAAAAACTCGATGCTAGTCCACGTGTTAATACGGAATTGGTTGACTCAATAAGTAAACTCAGTGAACGAAGCGTTGCACTCGTGAACGAAATGAAACAATTAAGATAATTAGTAGTGTTATACAATATTAGTATGTTTTAACCCGTGGTATGAAACATAATACCTTGAATACGGGTTTCAGTAGCATGGGCATTTAGTTTCAATTATAAATTCATTCGTCATGGAGAGGGTAAGAGTGTCATGCCGGTTTGAAGTATGTACCAAAACCTTCGCAAGAAAATCAAAGTGCCAGCACTAGACACGATGATAGGGAATATCGCATAAGTAATGACAACTATACTACTTCATTTTGCTGTATTAAATTAAAGTGAACAAATGGACAGCTATCCTCATTTGGTACTAATTGCCTTTCTAAAATGTGGCGTAAACCACATTTTTGAATGAAAATGTCGGAAAAATCAAAAGACTTGTTGTGGTCTTGCCCACTTTCACAAAGACAATGCGACTAGCTGTCCATTTTTAACACTTCAATCATCCTCTGGTGTAATGGGAACGTGTTGGGGAATCGGCAGGTAAGAAAACAACTCAAAACGTTCACAAAGTACCAAATAATATGACACCTACCGGGACTTTCGTGGGGTATATTCTTGTGCACCTCAAGAAATACCCCACACGAGATCATCCCCTGAATATAGCTATCTAGTCCATTTGTCATTTTCTGAACGTATGAATATTTAAAAGTATGATGTTTTTCTGTGTAAATACTATCATTAGGGATTATTGGAGTGATTTAGCTGGGTTGCCAAAAAATAACTTTGTAAAAAATTTTTGTATCTATTACCATGGTAACATACCAGGTATATGGTGGTATCCCAACGCTAAGTCAATAGTCAACACCATGTTAAGCAATTGCACCCCTCCCTAATCAGCCTATATAATTTTTTCCCCAAACAAACTTTCTCGGCAACCCAGTTAAATCACTTCAGAAAACCCTTATTATCATAAATCGACCATAAAACATCGTACTTTTAACAATTTCTAGGTTCACTATTGGATATATAGGGGTGACAAATGGACTAATCAGAACAATTATCATTGCAACTTTTGTGATTTCCCCGGGAATGTATATGATTTAACACCCAATCCGTATTAACAATTGGAAACCGTTTACCCATTCCGTATTAACACGTGGACTAGCATCGAGTTTTTCAAAATGTTGAAATCGTTTATTTGGAGATATTACGAACAAAACTGACATGTTCGGTTCGTGAAAGACTAAAGTAACTGCCGCTAGCAAGTGAAATCGGTTTAAACAGATTTAGATTTAAAAAGTTATGACAACTTTTGTCATTTTTTCACGTTTTTGTAAATGTAAACAAAGGAGGTTGGGGCCCTAAGGCTTTTTTATTATTCTATGAACAGAGATGTGTTTCGTGTCTATATAAAGTAGAATCGATTCCCCGGAGCATGTGCTATACCGTATCGCCATGCGAACTTGCTGTGAAACATAATCTCAATATCCGTAGGACAAGGTCACCATTTCTCATGAAATGGTATGATTTATTCCGTATTTATGTCAACAATTTCACTAATACGGAACGGTATACATGGGAGAGTGTTGATAAAGTCAATGTTTCTGGGGGACTAACACTTGCTCCCCCTCTGGCATCCTCACCCCACCTCCCCCTCGGGCACCCCCCCCCCCCCCCTTGGACACCCCCTCCAAACAAAAATAAAAAATATGATTTTTTTCTTATATTTTTTTATTGACTCATACACTTTGAAAGTGTCCAGAAAGCACCAAATAGCATCTCAAAATTGTAAATTTTTCTATGGGAAGGGCGCCACCCCTCACACCCCCACAAAACAATTGTAAAGTTCTGAATTTATTTAATGTATTGCCTCAGACACTTTTAAAGTGCCCAGACATCATCAAATAGCTCCTTGATATACCATAGTCAATGTTTCTGGGGACTAACACTTGCTCCCCCTCTGGCATCCTCACCCCATCTCCCCCTCAGGCACCCCCCCCCAAAAAAAATAGAAAAAAATATGATTTAATCATTTTATTGACTCATACACTTTAAAAGTGCCCAGAAATCACCAAATAGCAAAATTGTAAAATTTTCTACACACAAAACAATTGACAAAAATTCTGAATTTATTTCATGTATTGTCTCAGACACATTTTAGGTGCCCAGACTTCATCAAATACCGTTATATGGTCAATGTTTCTGGGGACATATATGAGGAACAAACACTTGCTCTGCTCTCCCTTCTGGAACCCCAACCCTACCTCCCCCTTTGCCCCCCCCCCCTTTGACACCCCAAATATTTGAAAAAATTTATTGACTCATACACTTTAAAAGTGACCAGAAAGCACAAAATATCATCTTAAAATTGTAAAACTTTCTAGGAGAGTTGGTCACGCATCACATCCCCCCAAAACAATTGAAAAAGTATGAATTTCATGTATTATCTCAGTCACTTTTAAAGTGCCCAGACATCATCAAATAGCACCTTGAAATGGTCAATGTTTCTGAGGGAAAACCCCTTGCTCCCCCTCTGGCATCCCCACCCCACCTCACCCTTTCATCGTCTTTGCCACCCCCCAAAAAAAAAAAATTGAAACTCATTTTTATCGCACTTTGAAAAAGTGCTATATTGCCGTCGTCTTGTGCTGTTGGGCGGGCGTGCGGGCGGGCGTGCGGGTGTGCGGGCGGACGGGACATAAACCAAATCTTGTCATCAAATTTCCAGGATAACTGCTTACCTGTTCAACTTGAAATTTTTACAGATGGAAGAGCAGACTAGTACCAAGATCTGATTAGGTTAAGGGCATGCTGGGTAAACTACGCGGCGGCCATTTTGAATTTTTCAACAAATCTTGTCATCAAAATTCCAGGAAAGCCACTTATCCATTCAACTTGAAATTTTTACAGATGCAAGAGCAGACTATTGCCAAGATCTGATTAGGTTTTGGGTATGCTGGCTGAATTACATGGTGGCCATTTTGAATTTTTCAATTTGGTGGCCATTTTGAATTTTTCAACTTGCTCCAAATTGACCAAATTTTTTTTTTAAAAACATCTACAAGTTCTCAGAAGTTCAAATCTGACCTTAGATTTCAGATTTGACCTTTCATTCACCTTCAGTGACCTTGAAAAGGTCAAAAAGTTGATTTTCTAAATTGATATTTTGGATTTAAATTTAGGTCAGCTTAATTACAAAACACCTACTGAGGTCTGAAAAAGTTAAATTTTCAAGGTCGAAGGTCAAGGTCATTAAACTAGGTCACAAATGATGTTATCCAAGTTTCTCAAAGTTTGAGACTACAAATCAATTCTTGTCATCAAAATTCCAAGAAAACCGCTAACCTGTTCAACTTGAAATTTTTTCACATGCAATAGCAGACTAGTGCCAAGATCTGATTAGGTTTAGGGCATGCTGGGTAAACTACGTGGTGGCCATTTTGAATTTTTCAACAAATCTTGTCATCAAAATTCCAGGAAAACCACTTATCCGTTCAACTTGAAATTTTTACAGATGCAAGAGCAGACTATTGCCAAGATTTGATTAGGTTTTGGGTATGCTGGCTGAATTACATGCTGCCCATTTTGAATTTTTCAATTTGGTGGCCATTTTGAATTTTTCAACTTGTTCCAAATTGACCAAATTTTTTTTTAAAAACATCTACAAGTTCTCAGAAGATCAAATCTGACCTTAGATTTCAGATTTGACCTTTCATTCACCTTCAGTGACCTTGAAAAGGTCAAAAAAGTTGATTTTCTAAATTCATATTTTGGATTTAAATTTAGGTCAGCTTAATTACAAAACACCTACTGAGGTCTGAAAAAATTAAATTTTCAAGGTCGAAGGTCATCAAATTAGGTCACAAACGATGTTATCTAAATTTTCCCAAAGTTCGAGACTACAAATAAATTCTTGTTATCAAAATTGCAGGAAAACCGCTAACCTTGTCAACTTGAAATGTTTACAGATGCAAGAGCAGACTAGTGCCAAGGTCTGATTAGGTTTTGGCCATGCTGGGTAAATTGCATTAAAAATAATTCTGACACTGCATCCCAAAAACTAAAGCATTCATTTACTCAAACACATTAAAAATGCTCAGAATTAACCAGACAGCATCTTGAATTAGTAAAATTTTCCTGTGCTGCCTACTCGCTCCTCTAAGAAGAAAATGATTAAAAAATCAGAATTCCTTTAAATTGGTTCTATTGCCTTCTAGCACCTATTCGAATGTTTATCCAAATTGCTCATTCAATATCTAGCCTAAAAACAATATGAAAACAATAAAATACTACAAAATAGGCTGAGTGGCCTTAATATAGAGAGTAACTGACCCCCTCCCCTGACTTACGCGATTTGATTTACGCGGAAAAATGACAATTTTATTTTCTCTTTATTAAAAACCGCACCCCCCTTGGAGAAAAGTGTCTTACGGGCCTGTATAGGGTACTTATAAATCTGATAGAGAAGGTGACCCTACATCCCAGGACACAGCTAGCACCATCTATCTAATATCTAATATAATAAAATGAAGTCCGTAACTTAGAAAAAAGTAAATTCAAAATATTTTAAGTAATTTGGGCTTCAAGCTCAATATCTGCAATTTGCAAGTGATTCTGACCATGTTTTAAGTATCAAAATAATGCTTAGAGTATTGAGACTCAACTGAAGTTAAAAAATAAGATAAAATATACAATAACACAGTGCTTATGACCAAACAAAAACGGAAGTCCAAACCGGAAGTCAAAAGAGTAACCGCACTTTCAGTCTAATATTGAATAATGAAGATTGATAGGTGGTCACTGTGTCCCAGGACATGTAAGTCAAAACTCCAAAACACGGTGTCTAACCCAAACATGTCTTACATGCTTGACAGAGCATTTCATTCACGTGGAAACACTGCGGAGCGAAATAAAATGGCGCGCCCAAGTGAAAAAAACAGCTTGCCATACCACTCTAATACACCACCAATAGACTACTAATACTCAACTAGTAGATCATGATCTATTAGTGATTTGTTAGTGGTCATTTTCGTTAACAGATCACTTTTTGCCATTGACTTAACAAGTGGTTTATTTGTTGAAAACATTACCTTGCAAATGAGGTAAAGTTATTGACCAATCAGAGAGCAGTGTAATACACTACTAGTAAATCACTAATCATGCTAAAACCCTACTTATAGATCACTCTTGAAGTCTCTAATAAACCACTAATAGACCACTTCCTGAAGTCTTATACACCACTAATACACCACTACTAGTCTAATAGACTACTAACAAATCACTCCTAAAATCTCAGAATTTTATACATTCATAAGGTACAAAATCTCTAAAGTGCTAAATTAAGTGAGAAATTATGAATAAGATTCAACATGTACATCTTCTACATACCTTTATGAATATGCTGAGCAAGATTCAATAAAGTTCAATCACCCCTCTGGTTAATTGAGTTAATACACAACTAACAAACCACTCCACCTAAAAAACCTTACAGTGGTTTATTATAAGTTGAGTATTGCCAGTTTTAATACATAACTTATAAACCACTTGACTAGATCACTTTTCATGGTGTATTGGTGATCTATTGGTGATGTATTAGTGGTATATTAGATTTCTTTTTTTTACTTGGGCGCGGCTACAGTCTGTTACACTGCTTCAAAGGCAAGCATTTAAACCTGAAATATAAGAAATCTAAATAATATTGTGCAACAATATATAGAAAAACATATTCATATTGCACACGAATGACATTCTTAACTGAGACATTTTCTCCTGTGTTCTAGTATGAGATTTGTTCCAAGACTAGGGTTCTTGCCAAAGGAGCCAAGAGCTTCCCACGTATCCTACAACACCCCTGCAACCAACAAAAAGAAAAAAAACCAAGATGCAGGCACATCTAGTGAAACATCTATGCAGACGCATGTAAAACCAACCACAAAGACTGCTCAATATAATCCAACAACTAGCACTAAGAAGATGAAAATAAAATCCAAAGTTGCAAAGAAGGGGATGTCCAATAATGAACAGAGTTTTATCACGCATCCCAAATCAATCAATACAAAGGCCAGGAAGATGACTAAAATTGTCTCCCCACAGAAGGTTAATAGACCCCATGAAACCACTGATGCAAACCATCCCGTGTCATCTTACAAAGCAACAAATGGTATATCAGAAAATACATCAAAGACTGATAAGAAGGTCAGAAAGATACAAATGTCCCACAAGACTTCAGCAAAAGACAGAACTGGTGATGGCACAAGTCCACACATTAACATCAATAAATCTATACCAAGGAATGCCACATCCAGCAACAAAACAGCAAATAAATTCTCCAAAAGAAAGGTTACGTTACATGGTTGTCTATCTAAAAGTGGAAAGGATGATAAATTGTTTCACAAAGTGAAGAAGACTCGTAGCTCACCATCTAGCAGCCTGAAAGGCACTAATAAACTTTTATTAAAAAACAAGCAAAGTAGCTGTGTAAAACAACCTAAAAAGAAAGGAAACTCACAAAGATCACAGAACATAGCTGAACATGATGCAGATGTGACTAAAAGACAATGCCACAACACTACCAAGGATAATCTAAGTAGTAGTGCTAGTGTCGGCCAGATTGTTGAAAGAAAGGCAAAAAATAATGCAAGAAAAAAGATCCTGAGAAACTGGACAAAATTAGAGGGTAAAAAAGTTGTAAAAAGCTCAACAAAAATGGAGAAAGTGATCGTACATGTTACACATGGAACCTCGGAGTCAAGTGTCGGTGAAATCCAAACAAGTGTGAGTCCAAAGCCATCAAATGTCTGTGTAAAGCCATCAAGTGTCAGTGTCAAGCTGTCAAGTGTCAGTGCAAAGCTACCAAGTGTCAATGTAAAGCAATCATGTGTTAGTCCAAAGCTACCAAATGTTAGTGTAAAGCTATCAAGTATTGGAGTGAATACTTCGAGGCTAGGTGAAAACCCATCAAGTATCAGGGCAAAGCCATCAAGTATTTGTGAAAAGCCATCATATATCAGTGCAAAACATCCAAGTATCAGTGCCAAGCTATCAAGGGTCGGGGCAAATCAATCAAGTCACAATACAATGCCACCAAGGGTCAGTAGCAATATAGTTCAGGTTGAGCCTGAAAGAAAAGTTGAAGTATCTCAAGCAGCTAAAGTTAATTCAGAGAAAGATGAGGCAGCTGTTCATCCTAAAGCTAACACTGTTGCATGTACATTGGATGTAAAACAAAGTCAAGAGACTAGAAAGGCTGTCACAATGACAAATCCATTGATTAGTGACACTGGAACATGTTTGACTGGTACCCAAAAGAAAAAGAATAAAAGTCATATGATAAGAAAACAAGGGTCAGATCAAACCCCTCATCCTCGACATAAGAATAAGTCAAGGAAGTCGCTTGATTTTAAAGGAACAGAAGCTCTGTCAAATAGTGATACAACTTACATTAATTTAAGTGATAATAAAGAAATGTCTGAGATCATGCAGTCATTGGATGTCTCACCTATACCAGCTGAACACAAGGATAACACATCTCTGTCTTTGAATACCTCTAGTAGTAGTTACAACGAAGATAAAGAAATGTTTGACGCAACAATTCAGCTATCTCCCCTTGATCTCTCAATGAAGATTGAACCACTTGGACAATATTCCAAGATCTTTGAGGATTCTTCCCAGGATGAAAGCAGTCCTCAATCTGATAAAGGAGTAAGTGATGTTAGTAAAGAGGATAATGGGGTAGAACTGAAAGTAAATGATGATATTAATGACACAGCTGATGTTGGTAATCTTACTTGTGAAGAAGAAATAATACCCACCATTGTCGAGTTCAGTGAAAATTCGAATAATTGTCAAAAATCAATTAACACAAACACTGTTGACATTCCAGGAGTAATTGTAGATGAAAATAATAACCAAAATAAGTTTAATTCAACTCTCTTTGATTATCCCAATGGTGAATCAGAGCAAAGACAACTAGAATCAAGCAATCAATCCGATATCAGTAAGCTACTCTACTATCACCAACCAGAGGATGATGTGCATCAACCCAAATCAGTAAATACAAGTGCTGAATCAAGCATCGGGCTGAATGAAGCATTCCTAAATGCTAGTGAGCTAAACATAAGTGACAATGTTACAGCTACAGGTGAAAGTCATGATACAGATAACATTCCTGTTATTGATGCAAGTGATATTGAACTTATTAATGTGGCACAAGCTGTCAATGCCAATTGGCCTGGACCAGATGGGTTGGATGATTCAACACAGTGTGATTCTAGCGTGGTATTGGTGAGTGACACTGACGCAGACAGTTTCAATACATGTGATGGTAAAGACAGTCCGCATAGAGAAGACACATCTGATGAATCAGAGTATGAGCCCGAAGAATCTATAGTTGAGGAAAGTGAATGCTCTGAATCAGCATCTGATGCAGCACCTATTAGCAATGGTGACTCTAATGCATTCGATGAAGAAGACAACCAAAAAGAAGATGATGGCATTGGCCTTAGTCCAAAGATAACACCAATCTCTCTGAAAGGTATGCATTTCTTAACAAGTGATTTCCTGTGTATTTCATTAACAAAAATATGTTCCCCAACTCTTGTAACATTAAATTGGAAAAATTAATGAATAATTTCACAAGTTCCCAATTTACTTTTTTAGTATTTAAATACACTTCTTAGTAATTAATAATGCATAATTTTGTACATTAACAACAGGTTTGGTACCAAAAAGAGGCCGTTCAAGTAAAGGTATTCGAGAACTCCAGGCACTGATCACCGACATACATGATCACTTGCCTATGCTAGAAAGGTCGGCTACATCTAGGGTAAGTTGAACCTTGCAAGGTATTAATCGGTGTTTTAACCCCTACGCATGCATATTTGTTATATTGCAAAAATGGACTCCAGTATAAATTGGCACGAATCATCTAAGAATATTTAAGATGCCCATGTCTTTATTCGATGTCTTTTTTCCAAACACTACTGTGACCAATAAGATTGTCTCATTGAAAGATGTCAGTGTTTGTCATCAGAGTTATTCTCTATAATTACAGGGATATATGACAACTTCCTATGATTTATTGTAAAGTGCGTGCTATATTTCAGTTAAGACATAGGAAGCTTTTGGGAGATGAAGCTAATCAATTGAAACAAGAAGATACAACAACAGACAAAGATACAGTAGATAATGAACCTAATGATGACCAAGCTAAGAAACCATTGGTTGAAGTAAGCTTACAGCAAGAACATCAACCTGAAGTCCATGATGAAATGAACAGTGGCAGTTTACCTATTGTAAACATAAGAAATGATAATGGATGTGATGTGGTGAAAACTCCTCCAAGATCAGAATTGTCAGAGAGGACAAAGCGAAAGAGAGCGAAACCAGATTTCTTTCAGAGTCCCTTTTCCAGCACTAAGAAGGCAAAGTGTGGAGCGGAATCAACCTCAGGCATACTGCGGCCCAGTTCTAAGGAACAGAAGTATGACAAAGTCTCAGAGGAACAAGGTACACCAGGATCTGATAAGCAGCAGACATTATCTGACAAGACATCAAATGTAAGTTTAAATTCTGTTGTTTTTGTGGTTGAAACTGAATATCATTGTTTTTGAGACAAAATGAGATAATTTTTGAAGACAAGTTTAGTTATAGAATTATCATTAGATGTAAATTTTTCTAAGATAATATACTTCAAATTCCATATTTTCTATTGGATACCTAACATGGAATTAAATACATGTAATTCCATCACATATGTTTATTTGGATAGGAATGGAGATATGAATGGACTTTGACTATGTAACATTCCAAAGAACATCAAAATAGTAATAAGGTGCTAAGGCATCAGTCTATAATTTGAACCCAAAATGTGGCATAGGCCAAGATGAATAAAGCATAAAACATTCAAATCCACTAAAACAATTATTTTCTGATTCTTATGATAGATTCCTGGGATGTCCATTGTTAGGCCTGGTTTCAATACCCCAGGATCCCGGTCTATAATCCTACAACTTGGTATGACTGATACCCCAAGACCAGGAACCTCCAATGAATCTGACACACCAAGGCAACCACAGTTCCCCTCCATGGTTGAGCATGTACCAGATCTTGGGAAGGTTGTCTGGGCACGGTTTTGTACCAAGTACTGGCCAGGGATGATTGTTAAAGGCACATATGCTAACCTGGCCCCTGCAAGATTGGACCACTCATGGGTATTCTGGTATGGAGATCACAAGATATCAGAGGTAGGACAGTGTCTTATTATTTTCCAGACATAAAATAATGATGTATCATCTGTTTTTCTATGATTTATAGATAATAGATCTCAATCTAATGTCCTGATTGAAAATCACTAGTTAGAAATTGACTATTTGAAGTACTAACTTCGACACAACAACAGAAGAATGAGTTATCTAGCTATTTTGGATCCTTTGTTTTGTTTGGTGGTCAGTGTCTGTAACAAATGGCAGATGGTGACATTTTGCATGTATATATGTTGATATTATTACACGTGAGCCTTAATTTCTCTTTGAATTCCAGATTCAGAAGTCATTCATTGAAGCTTTTGAGAAAGATTTCCCCGTACATCTGCAAAATGGTGGCAATGTGAAGAAGTTTCATCTGGGAGTCTTAGAAGCTGTCAAGGTATTTCATTGCCAACTTTCCTATTTATTTTCACTGCCAACTGTCTATTTATTTTCACTGTCATGCAATCTTACCTATTTTTTACCTTCAACTTTCCTTTCAATTCAATTTCAATTCCTTGCAGCCAATTATTCTATTTTTCCTGCCAACTTTCCAGGTTTTTACTGCTAACTTTCTTATTTTACTAATAATTTTCCTATTTTTTACTTCCACCTTTCTAACATTTCCCATTTCTTCAGCCTAGTTAATGAGTTCATTCAGCAGCCAATTCTAAATTTTGTGTAAGCTTCATTTGGATTCAATTTTAATCAAAAATCACTAATAAGAGATATCACTGCCTATTAGAGGTGTGCACCGATGGTACATTACTTGATCGATCAACGAAACATATTAATCGATTAATCATCGGTTAATCGACCCCAACATAAACTGATAAAGTATGCATGGATATTAACCAAACCCGTCTGGCCCAGTAATCTACTCCCGATTCTGAATTGTCGTAGATCTACGACGTCAGGAGTAGATAACTGGGCCAGACGGGTTTGGTTAGCATGGATATCTGACATAAACTTGATTTTTCGGCAACTTTCTTGTGGGCGATAAATCGATAATTGGAGAGTTATTTTCGCTGGGCGTAAATGTCACATTAGTTCTATAAAGCCTCCCCCTACTGCAAGCGATATCAGGTGAAGGTCGACCACAATCATATTGACAATTTTATTAGTGATATCTTCAGCGGCAAGTTTAGAAACAGGTCCCGACTTTCTGACTAGAAATAAAGTTATTGGCGACGTCGGAGTATTTATTTTCGGAGTTTCCCCGTGTGCATTTGACAAGTGGTAGCTTAGAGTAGATGTACTGTTTGAATATTTGTATTTAGTATTGCAGAGCACACATTTGACGCGATCATCGTCTTCTTTGTTGAAATATTTCCATATATAACTTCTTTTTCCTAGTGTTGTCGCCATTTTTCGACCGCTTCTGAACTGAATAAAATTGGGACGGTTGCATTCAAATTATACACCACTATTCACCTTGAATTTGATCGCATACTTCTACTGAATAAACCAATGGGATGTATTGGATTAGTATTAAACTCAAAAACAAAGGTCACAGGTAAGCGTCAGTCTTAGGGTAATTAGTTTGTTTGGTAGTTTGAGCTTGGCGTGGCAACCTGACATTCACTGCTCAATCAGTCAGTGACGTCACTGAGCTTACTCGCGGCGGGATATTGAAGATTAACTTTTTGAGAATCAGTTAATTGACTAATAAGAATCTTATTCAATTAAATGCATGTCGATCAATTAATCGATGATCGATTAAAAATTCACACCTCTACTGCCTATCACAGATACTCATGTTTGCTCGGAACTGTTCTAAGGTTAAATCTTCCTAACTGTTCTCAAATATTTTGTTTTCCATGAAAACCCTAAATAAAATGCCATTGTTGCTGTTACATAACTGTGACCCAAAACTGGCAAGTTAAACCAGATATCTTGTTGTGTAGTGACATCTCTATTAAATATCCTCTCTAGTTATTAGGAAATAAATAATCTAGGTTTTTAGCTCACATGTTTTATTATTGTGGTGACGTATTGTTAACATCTCCAACTGTTTGTGGTGGCGGTTGGTGTTTGGCATCTGTAACAAAGGCTAGGTGGTGACATTTTGCAGGTTAATGCCTTGTGTTACATGCAATAATAAACTAATATAAATGATATCCCATATATTTAACTTGTTGTTTGTGGAAATGTAGATGGAGAAGTTCAATGCCCAAGACCAATAGATTGCAGCATGGTGAAGTTGAGAATTGGCAAATTATTTTGTCTAATGTTGTAATTGTTACAATTCAGGAATGTGCAGAGAGATGTAACAAGGAGCTGGACGATGATCAGGGAATGATGTCCTGGGGCAGACAAGGCTTCCAAATGACTCCATGGAGAGAAAACATGTTTCATCCAGATAAAGGTTGGTTGGGACTTGTATAGATCAAATGCCAATTTGAAATATTTTTATGTCACTTCAAGAATTGGTGACATATTGTTTTAGTCTTCCAACTTTTTTATTTGAACAGTGGTTAGTGGTTGATCTTCGGTGGTTGATACTTGGCGTGTGGTGTCTGTAACAAATGGCAGGTGGTGACATTTTGAATGTTAATGCTTTGTTTTATATGTGCCATTTTCATAGTTTTAAATGCAAAAAATTTGAACTATCCAGATTTTTTTGGCAATCACACCCCCCTGACTGAAAGCTGGCTACGCCCCTGCAGTCCCAGTGATCTCTCAAAATACAACTGGCTGCTGCATGCAAAAGTTGAGAAATTTGAAAATTATCTAGCACCTCACCTAGTTTTAAAATCTCATTTTGATATTCTAGGTTAAAAATATTTTTTAAATACCCCTTTGTATATACTTGGTCTATACTTGGCTTTGTCATCGACTCATATTATGCTTGAATTCTTTTAGATCACCCTGTACCCAACATTGTGTTGGAACACCTTGCAAACATTGGGTCAAAGCAGCGAAGGATCCAGCAGGATTGTAATGATAAAGATTCTGAGGATTGCAGACCTTTGAGGATTGAAGTTCTACAATCAAAAGGTACATTTGTAATTGTATATTACCATCATTATAACTGTCATGCCCATGTATTTTATCAATCATATCGTTGTAATGATGTTGTCAGCATGATCATAGTTGTCATGTCCCACTTTCTTGTCATTGTGATTCCTGGAAACTTTTTTATCATTGTCTTTCAAGTCAAACTGTTTATCTGATTTATTACAAAGGTATCAAGCTCTAGAGCATAAAACTTTGTACCTTTGTTATTTAGGGGAGGCTTTAAAGTTAGTCTATTTGGTTTGTAAAGTTTGTAATATCCAACTTTTATGTGGATGGTGTTCCGCCTTTAGAGTTTGGAATTTGTAACAAATGGCAGAGGATGACAATTTGCATGTTAATGCTTTGTGTTGCAATTTTAGTTATACCATATGTCTCTATGTGCAATATAATCATTGTGTCCCTGTTTTTTCTATTTTGGAATTGCATATACATGTACATGTTAATGCTTCTGATTTTTTCCAGATCCTCTACTCCAGGTGAGGTCAGGCCAATACAAAATAACAGGTATGAAAGGGCTACTACCATATAACATTTTAAACGCTTCACATTTTCAGTTGTGTTTATTCCCTAAGCTGGCACCTGTAGCATAACATAAAAGCCTTAAATTAACATTTCCACAAATGAAGAGTTTACTGGTATATAGAAGCTCAATGATCATCATTTGGGAAAAACAACCCAAAGCTGCATATCATGATGGTTCTGAACCATAAAATATGGAAAACCATAAAATATAATGAACCATAAAAATATTTACAAAAGTGTAATTTCTTGTTGCTTTTATTTTCCTGCTTACTCACCCTCATCCTCACATTATTTGTTTTAATTTGCACTACCCCTTTTAAACACAATTTTTCACAGTGCTATACATCTTGTTAATCCTTGTGTATTATTTTTCTCATTGTAAATGGCCATTAGGTAATCATAGTCATGGGCGTAGCGCTATTTTTCTAAGTAGTACGCCACCACCACGGGAACAAGAGTTGAGTGGATCAAAAAACGAGCATTCAGGGGGGTCTGTGGGTTCTCCCCCAGGAAAATTTTGAAATTTGGTTGTATTAGGAGCGAATTTGCAACCATCTGGTACGCCTGTGCGTACCCAGCGTACCGGGCGCTACGCCCATGATAGTCATTCATGATTGTTTTTCCATTAAATGTTATCTATGTCATTGATGAGTGCTCTCTGACTTCAGATGTGTGTATTTCTTGCGATGGTGCAACAACAGAGGTCATCACCCAGCATCCCTTCTTTGAAGGAGGACTTTGCCTGGACTGCAAGGTATTTCATTACACAAAACACATTCATAAAAGTGTTATCATCATTGATGTGGTTTAACTCTAATTCTGTAAATCCAAACCGGATATCCTGACTTCGCCATGCAGTAAAAAATATATTATATTTGACTATTATTTTTCTAGGAACTTCTGATGGAGTCTATTTGGATCTATGGAAAAGAAGATGGCTCAAATGTAAGTTGTCAGCTTTAGAGTTATCGATAAAGAAGAATATTCCAGAATTTCAAAACATTGGGAGGCAGTTTGTCTAAGTAACTTGTTGGAGAGCAGTGTTTATAAATAAAGACTTTCAAAGTTCCAAAATCTGAAGACAAGTTTCTGCACTGTGTCACATTTTCATGTCACCATTTTTTCTAAATTTTCACACGATGAAGTATATGTAATATTCTGCTCATGGACTAGTTCTGTGAGTTGGCCATTTTCAGTTATTGCACGTCAAAAGCATGTATTCTGGACGAGTAATAAATTCAGTGTGCTCTTACCACCATAGTCAATATATTTGTAACAAACCTATGTCCACCCCATACCTCCCTTCATTCACTTTTAGTCATTTCATGTTTCTTGGTATGAACTTCTAGAACTAATTTGGGCTCCAGGTTTTTAAGATGGATTCTATGATTAGACTCCAGATGTAAATCTGGAGTCTATTGTTTTCGTCAGTATTCTTCTTTATTATTCTTTATTATTCTTTATTATTCTTTCCCAGTTTTCTCGATAACCATAAGGCTTCCAATAAAGATCATGATTCAGTCAATTTATGTCCAGTATCTAGTTCCTCAGAAATTGGGTCAAATTTTTATCTAGGTCAGAGGTCAAGAACTAGGTCAAATCTTACATTTTCAACATTCTGTCATTTATCTTCGTCGTTGTTTATAGTAACTGCTAAATCTTTTTTTCATCATGTAGCTTAGAAAAAGCCAAAGCAAAGATATGACATTAGATTTTTGATTACGCTTACCGATTTTGAAATATGGCGTCCAGAAAGTAGGTCAAAATGGAAAGTTCTCCAAATTTAACATCTGAGTTATGAATTAAGGGTAGAATTTACTCAGGAATCCGAATCTGCAAACCAAATTTCGATCCGACTTCCAGTTTGAAAGTTATGGCGTTTTGAAATTTCGAGAAAAATCGATCTGATGATATCCTTATAGAAAGTCAAGAGTAGCGAAGAAAATATAGAAAAAATCATCCATCCTTCCTTCCTATCCTGTCTGATCATATCCTTCCTATCTATCCTTCCTTCCTATCCTTTCCTTCCTATCCTATCCTTCCTTCCTATTCTATATCCTATCCTATATCCTATCCTATATCTATCCTATATCCTATCCTATATCCTATCGTATATCTTATCCTTCTTTCCTATCCTTCCTATCCTATCCTTCCTTCCTATCCTATACTATCCTATCGTTTCTTCCTATTCTATCCTTTCCTTCCTTCCTATTCTGGAAGGAAGGATAGGATAGGATAGGAAGGAAGGATAGGATAAGAAGGATAGGAAAGAGGGATAGGACTGGACGACTTGGCTTATTCTGGACGACTCGGCTATATCCATCCCACCTATCCTATTCAATCCTATCCTTCTTTCCTATCCTTCCTATCCTATCCTTCCTTCCTTCCTTCCTATCCCATCCTTCCTATTCTGTCCTATCTTATTCTTTCTTCGGATTCTATTGTATACTATTCTATCCTTCCTATCCTATCCTATACTATCCTATCCTATCTTCCTATTCTGTCATATCCTTCCTATCCTATGAATTCATCCATTCATCCATCAATCCATCCATCCAGGCTTATTCTGGATGACTCGGCTTATTCTGGATGACTCAGCCTATTCTGGATGACTTGGCTATTTTGGATGACTCGACTATAATATCCATCCCACCTATCCTATCCTATCCAATCCTATCCTTCTTTCCTATCCTTCCTATCCTATCCTTCCTTCCTATCCTATCCTACACTTCCTATTCTGTCCTATCTTATTCTTTCTTCGGATTCTATTGTATACTATTCTATCCTTCCTATCCTATCCTACCCTTCCTATTCTGTCCTATCTTATTCTTTCTTCGGATTCTATCGTATACTATCCTATCCTTCCTATCTATCCTTCCTTCGTATCTTTTCCTTCCTATCCTATTCTATCATATCCTTTCTTCTTATTCTATCCTATCCTTCTTTCTTATTCTATCCTATCGTTCCTTCCTATTTTATCCTATCCTACCTTCCTATTTTATTCATCCATCTTTTTTTGGATGACTCAGCTTATTCTGGATGACTCGGCTTATTCTGGATGACTCAGCTAAAAAAGGTCTTAATCTGGAGTCTGAAATTGAACTTGTTCAATTTCCAAAGTCTAGTTATTTTTATGCCACCACCACAATTGGTGACATATTGTTATAGTCTCCAATTTTTCGTGGACAATGTTCAGCTGTTCATGTTTGGCAGTTGGTGTTTGGAAGGTGTTCGGCAGTTTGCATCTGTAAAAAATGGCAGGTGATGACATCTTGCATGTTAATGCCTTGTTGGGTACTTCTTCAAACTCTTGAAGGAAATTATGAATTCCTTGTATGACATTACGAGTACCAGTTTCACCATGTATATAGCTTACTTCCTTAAATGCTGTATCTATTCCTAACCTTTCCTTCTATATGTATCTTCCTTACTAAACTGCAGGCCTACTGCACTGTATGCAGCAATGGTGGAGAGCTCTTTGTCTGTGAGAAACCTAACTGTCACCGGTGAGCTAATCTTAATCTAACATACAAATCTTAAGGTAGCTCAGGTGGTAAAATATTTATTTCAGAACATATATACCAGCATCATACACGTATGACTGTTACTAGATTATCAAAAGTGTGCAATGTAACTTCAAAATTATACCACCTCTGTTTCCTTAAAAACAAGTCTGAAAATATGACTGTTTATCGTATGATCTGTAAAATGAAGCCCTCTGATTGGTCAGATCTTGTGCTGTACCAATCTTTATTGTATGATCTGTAAAATGAAGCCTTCTGATTGGTCAGTTCTTGTGCTGTACCAATCTGTATTGCTACTGAGATTGTCCCCGTTGATCATTGATCATCTCCGTCGCAATACAGAAAATATTGGTACGGAGGGGACAATCTCAGTAGCAATACAGAGGATCACACGATAAAAACGTTATTGAATGATTTAAAGTGCAATACAGGATATATTCTGTCTCGATATTCTGTATTGGCACTCGACTTTGTCTCGTTCCAATACGGAATTTCTCGAGCAGAATATATCTTGTATTGCACTTCAAATCATTCAATAACTTATAGTATCGCTACTGAGACTGTCCCGTTGATCATCTCTGTCGCAATACAGAAAATATTGGTACGGAGGGGACAAACTCAGTACCAATACATGTACATAGGATCACACGATAAAAACGTTATTGAATGATTTGAAGTGCAATACAGGATATATTCTGTCTCGATATTCTGTATTGGCACTCGACTTCGCCTCGTTCCAATACAGAATTTCCCAAGCAGAATATATCCTGTATTATACCACTCTAAGTACAATTACAGTTGTATAACATGGGTCTATAACAATGATATACAGTGGAGAGTGGTATATCGTCATCGTATACAACTCCTCCGTATACACTCCAGCGTATACCACTGTAGAAGTGCATTGTGGGAACTAATGAATCAAGTGACGTCATAAATGGTTCCGGCATGATTTGCTAGAATCAAGCCACGTCATAAATGGTTCGAGATCAACATCAGCATTATTGAGTTGGCTATGGGATATTTTTGTGGTTTTTAATTGTTATGATTGTGTAATTGAACTTAGAGTGGCATAATAAGATTATATAATGGTTCATTCTGTATATCGTGCATTTTATACTCTCGTGAGAATATAATATATTCACTCGTTCGCTACGCTCACTTGTGAATATATCATATACTCACTCGAGTATAAACACGATATACAGAAAGAACCATTATATAACCTCATATTACACAAATCATTCAATAACTTAATATATATTGTTAATCTTACACACTGTACACACCTTTATACAGTGCAGACTGCTAACATTTTCTAACATCAAACATCTTTGAATTGTGATTTCAGACTGAATGCACTTTCTAATCTTGACTTTTTTTTTAAATTACTGTTTACCATGGGTGAGCTCAGCCCTCTATCATAGTGATATGTATATTTATTAGACTCCAGATTGAAAATCTGGAGTCTATTGCTTTTGCCAGTTTTATTATTATTATTATTATTCTTTCCGAACCAGTTTTCTCAGCAACTAGAAGACCTTACTCAAATCTACTTACAGGGTCAGTAAGGAGATGAGATCTAGTTTCTGGGAAATTAGGTTAAATTTTTATCTAGGTCAAAGGTCAAAATCTAGGTCAAATTTATAGTTTTCCTTATTTTTACGATTCTGACACTACACTTTAATAATTTGCTTCAAAATTTTGTATACAGATAGCAAAGAGTGTGCTAATAGTGTTAGCCTTTTGCCGTCAGAAAGTATTTTGACCCACTTTTGAGATATGGTGTCCGAAAAGTAGGTCAAAATAAAAAGTTCTCCAAATTTAACGTATGAGTTATGAATTAAGAGAAGAATTTTCTCAGGAATCCGAATCTGCAAACCAAATTCCGATCCGACTTTCGGTTCGGAAGTTATGGCGTTTTGAAAGCTCAAAAATCGCTAAATTTGGTGCCTATGTTAAGTCAATGGGAAAAAAGACTTTTTCGAAGTGTAAAATACAAGATATAGACTGAGTACAGCTTAATATAATGAATGCTTATAAAAGAAGGGAACCTCAAAAGCTACATAGCTTCAAAATTTGGACAACAAAATGCCTAGGTCAAAATCTAGGTCAAATTCATAGTTTTTCCTTATTTTAACGATTCTGACACTACACTTTAATAATTTACTTCAAAATTTTGTATACAGGTAGCAAAGAGTGTGCTAATAGTGTTAGCCTTTTGCCGTCAGAAAGTATTCTGACCCACTTTTGAGATATGGTGTCCGAAAAGTAGGTCAAAATAAAAAGTTCTCCAAATTTAACGTATGAGCTATGAATTAAGGGTAGAATTTTCTTAGGAATCTGAATCTGCAAACCAAATTTCGATCCGACTGCCGGTTCGGATGTTATGGCGTTTTGAAATCTCAAAAATCGCTAAATTTGGTGCCCCATGTTAAGTCAATGGGAAAAAAGACTTTTTCGAAGTGTAAAGTACAAGATATAGACTGGGTACAGCTCAACATAATGAACTTTTGTAAAAGAAGGGGACCTCAAAAGCTACATAGCTTCAAAATTTGGACACAAAAATGCCTAGGTCAAAATCTAGGTCAAATTCATAGTTTTTCCTTATTTTTATGATTCTGACACTACACTTTTATAATTTTCTTCAAAATTTTATATACAGGTAGCAAAGAGTGTGCTAATAGTGTAAGCCTTTTGCCGTCAGAGAGTATTTTGACCCACTTTTGAGATATGGTGTCCGAAAAGTAGGTCAAAATAAAAAGTTCTCCAAATTTAACATATGAGTTATGAATTAAGAGTAGAATTTTTTCAGGAATCCTAATCTGCAAACCAAATTTCGATCTGACTTCCGATTCTAAAGTTATGGCGTGTCCGAAAAGTAGGTCAAAATAAAAATTCGCCAAATGTAACGTATGAGTTATGAATTAGGGGTAGAATTTTCTCAGGAATCCGAATCTGCAAACCAAATTTCAATCCGACTATCGGTTCCAAAGAAATGGCTCGAAAATCGCTAAATTTGGTGCCCCATGTTATGTCAATGAGAAAAAAGATTTTTTTGAAGTGTAAAATACAAGATATAGACTGAATACAGCTTAACATTCTGAAAGCCTATGAAAGAAGGGGACCCCGAAGCCTATCTAGCTTTAAAATTTGGACACCAAAATGCCTAGGTCAAAATCTAGGTCAAATTCATAGTTTTTCCTTATTTTTGCGATTCTGACATTACACTTTAATGATTTACTTCGAAATTTTGTATACACGTAGCAAAGAGTGTGCTTATAGTGTTTGCCTTTTGCCGTCACAAAGTATTTTGACCCACTTTTGAGATATGGTGTCCTAAAAATAGGTCAAAATAAAAAATTCTCAAAATATCCCTTATGAGTTATGAATTAAAGGTAAAATTTTCCCAGGAATCCGAATCTGCAAACCAAATTTCAATCCGACTTCCGGTCAAAAATTCCTACTTACCTACCTACCTACATACCTACTTGGCTACCTACTTAGCTACCTACTTCTCAGCTACTTGGCTACCTACTCAGCTACTTACTCAGCTACCTACTCAGCTGCTTACTCAGCTACCTACTCAGCTACTCTACTCAATTACTTAATCATCTACGTACTCAGCTTCCTACTCAGTTACTTACTCAGCTCTTTACTCAAGTAAATCAATCTGGAGTCTTAAATTGAACTTGTTCAATTTACATGTCTAGTTATTTATATTTTTTGATGAGCATTTTGTTACACAATTTTTATTATCCCATCGAAGTTCGTTGGGATATAGAGAAGCTGTCTCTATAGCATGTATGTTTTTTAGGCTTATGCCTTATGGGTGTAGAACCTCTACTTAAGAAAGAATTTTCAGTATGGCCACTCAATTCAAAATGGCGACCACTTTACAAAAATTAAGTCTTGCCTGAACTGGGGATCGAATCTGGGACCTATTGCATAAGAGGTACCTGTGCTACCGCTGAGCTATACGGGTGGACTTGCATATTATTGTACTGGCTGTATCACATTGTTTGTTTGTTTCAGTGTGCATTGTACTGGCTGTATCACATTGTTTGTTTGTTTCAGTGTGTATTGTACTGGGTGTATCACATTGTTTGTTTGTTTCAGTGTGTATTGTACTGGCTGTATCACATTGTTTGTGGGAGAAGAAGCTGTTGTTCGCATACAGGAGACAGATCCTTGGATTTGTTTTATGTGCAGTGACTATAGCAACGAGAACCATGGTCTGTTGAGAGCCAAGCCAGACTGGCAGCAGAACCTGTTGAGGTTGTTTAATGCAGAGAATATACTACTGAATGTAAGTTGTGTAATTGCTGTTAGAAACCACATTAAGATTGCACTGAATCTATTTCTTGTGCTAAAAGTGCTATACTGCTGTGCAGTGCTATATTGCTGTGCAGTGCAATGTTGCCATGTAGTACTATACTGCTGTGCAGTGTTATACTGCTGTGAGAATGGGTGACACAAGTAACCTTGTCATCAAAATAGCTAGAGAACTGCTCCTCTTTTTAACTTACATTTACAGATACATTAAGTATAATACATATACATGCAGAGATCACGGTAGACGTTCGCCATTCGCCAATCGCGAATTTTCGAAAGAGGTGGCGAAAAATATGTAAAGGTATTTCGCAGTTATGGCGAATTAGAGTTGTCACGGTTTCCCGGTATTGGACCGAATTTCGGTCCAGATGCTTCGGTTCGGGACATGGGACAGAAAGGGTTAATATCGGTACATAGATTCCTTCCCTAGAATGCATAAAAACGTGTATAAATAGCGAGGAACACCTCCGACTTCGTTCTGAAAAATTAAATATTTTCACTTACCTCGTACCTAGTTTACACTTCTTTGCATTGAAAAGTGTTATTAACGGACCCGCGATTTCAGGTAGATGGTAATGCTTGTTCGTAAATTTCTTCATCGTCGTTCCCAAATCGAGTGCATTATCAGTATGCCGGATGTAGGAAAGAAATTGAAAAATCGAGCCGGCATCTAAGTCGAAAAAGTCGGCAGTTTGGAAGTATTTTGGGACTCCGATATCACAAGGTAAACGAATTGGTGATATTACACCGTGCAGACTATGTGAAATGCCGATCACATTCGCGGCAGATGCTTTACATTCAATTTTAATTGACGTTTTTTTATTTCTGAATATGATTTTGAAAAGTGAAACTGAAAGTGAAACTGTCATCATCAGACATTGCATCATTTTTAATGTTCCCTTTTTTACGGTTTTTCAAAATGGCTAATTCATATTTTGGTTGGCGAAATTTTTTTTGGAAGATTTAGCCACAATGGCTAACAAGTTTTTTCAACTATCGTGATCTCTGATACATGTACACATTTAAAAGGTTTTGCAGTCACCCTATCAAAACCATGGTTCATATTTTATAGAATGATGCTTTGGATGGCTTCAAGAAACGACCCCTCAGAGTTCTCTCCCTGTTTGATGGAATTGGCACAGGTATGTAATGTACTATAGGAAGCCTTCAGTATTAGAACATAGTGGTACAGTCTAATGCATAACTTCAGGAAATTCCCCCTACTTTCATTATTAGAGTAGGTAGGTTATCTGCCATCTTTTTTTGAGGTATTGTACTAAACTTGTACTATTGTACTATAGATTATGAGGGAACATTTTTAAAATTGCTATCTGAGAAAGTACTAGTCATTACTAATTATTGGGTTCTAGCATTATGATTGCATGGATGGTTCTGGAAATTATATATGAAATTAGAATTACATATTTATCAATGGTTCTCTGAATTACAAGTGAGATGAGAATGAATGTTTCTAGAAATAAGTGATCCAACAGAACTTTGGCTTGACGCCTGCTACATTGTAAAAGTAATACTGAGATGAAAAAACTATTCATGCACATTTCAAAACTACATAAGATACTTCTTTATTGAATCATGGATGTTTTCAGGTAAATATGTATTAGACAGTATGGGCTTACAGGTGGAAGTCTACTATGCTAGTGAGATAGAAGATGATGCCATTATGGTGACACACGTTCGCCATGGTAACTCTGTAATACAACTAGGGGATGTCACGAAGCTAACATATGAAAAGGTAACGTTTTACTGTTATATATCATGGAAGTCAAGGTATCCTACATTCTAAAATTATGTATCTCTTTTATCATTTCTGACTATGGAAACAAATTATTAGACACGTAGACATGTTACCATGCCAACTGGAGTTATTGAAACCTTTGTAGCATTTGTAAAAATGATAACTTGAAAAGTAATGATCAGATTGACTTGGAATTTATAAGTGAATACCTTTATTGTTGACATCTTATGATAGATATGGTCTGTTAATTTGACATGGTGGTAACATTTTGTTACCAAGGTAACAAAATATGGTGACATTTTGTAACCAAGGTACGCTTAACTTTGTTATTAGAATGTTGTAGGCACTAGTAAATCTTATTTTATTTAAGTAGCATTGTCTTCTAACATGTCTAAGCAGAATGTATAACTTCTAATTAGAATTGTTATTCAGCAAATTATATCATAAGTGTGTTTAATGTCCCATATGTATAATACAATTTGATGATTCCAGTTAAGAGGGCTTGGTTCCATAGACTTGCTGATAGGTGGCTCTCCATGTAATGATCTCTCATTGGTTAATCCTGCTCGTAAAGGTCTGCATGGTAAGCTCTCATATTAAAGCCTGTGTGCTTACTTTGTTTCTACACTTTTCTTGAGTTGAGTAAAGATAATTTTGGATTAATCCTAGGTTAGGGGCCATGGATCATCCAAGGATTAATCCTACCCGTATGCAATATTAAATTCAACAATTTTTCAAATATTTTCAGTTGTACGCAAAGTGACCTTCCATTTCCATATACTTGGGATTCAAAGTCTCAGCAGAGCACTATACATACAGTGATGTTCTCCCTAGAGGCTTAAGTGAATAAATGGTTTTAAAATGAGTATATTGTTGCATAGACACCTCATCCTACAACTTTCTCCCTCAGTAAAATGGTGATACATTATAAGGGTGCTTAAGGCCCGATGCAACGATGAAACATAGTAAATGATATACTTATGTCTTGATTTTTCAGGTGGAACAGGAATCCTGTTCTTTGAGTTCTATAGGATCTTGAATACTCTAAGACAGCTGAATAAAGACACAACATTATTCTGGATGTTTGAGAATGTAGCAGCTCTGCCGAAAGAAACAAAGGCAGCCATATCCAACTTTCTCATGGTATGTTACTTGCTTGTTTCAATCCTTTGTGGGGGGGTCAAAAGTCTTGATTAGTTAAGTTTTTAGACAGACATCAAACTTTTGGATGCCTCCCCTTAGGCAATATTGATTTTCACACTGATCTTAAATGTAAAGCATATTTTGTGCAGTAACTTACAATTATTGTAATAGCCTATGGAGAATGGCTTTTCATAACAGGGATGTAAAAAAGTTAAAAGTGCTTTACAGTGTAACTCTGCAATCTGGAAAATTTTACAGGATTTATGCCAATATATCATCTTCCATTTTTCAATGGGCCTCTAACATGTTTGTGACAAGTTATCTAATGAGCAAATCACAAGGGAAAAGATCATGTGAATACTTAACATACTTCATTTGAATTTCTAGTGTGAACCAGCAAAATGGGATGCCCAGTACTTTAGTGCCCAGAAAAGGTTGCGGTATTTTTGGGGAAACATTCCTGGCATGTACTGGTGAGCAATATGTACTATTCCTCTAATTTTACTGTTAATTTCCTTTTTGTCACATATCTTCTTTGGTTCTTTCTTTAGACTTTCTCGAGTTCTATATTGTATTGGTTTTTAGTACCACTAAGAAGGTGAACAAAGCTTCTTATGTAAATTTTTCAAAATGTTAAACTTATTGCAATTTAAGTTGGACAAGGGTTTTTAGACAATGAGCTAATTTTATTGATCAAATTATCTTAGAGTTAAATTTATCCATGATCTATTCATAATTTAACCTACTTTTACAACTTGACCTATTTTGTCAAAAAATGCATGATTGCATGAATGAAGGAATTGATATTAATTTTCACCATTTGAGCTCACCAAATATTTTTTTATTTATTATTTTCATCTGATTAGCTCAATTTTTCCAATACTAATATGAGACCTTCAGTCTTACAACAGCATGTGTTTTTACCATTTTCTATTTATTGCTTCTTATCTGTCCATCACTTTCAACAAAATAATACATTCTGGTATTTCAGCCCACTCCTGGAGGAAGACCCATCATCATTCACATTATCTGAGATGCTGATGCCAAACTCTAAACGTACAGCTGTGGTATGTACATTAGTTGCAATGTTTAATGATCTGTATTATTAAATCCTAGCCTTTTAAACACAAAATGTTTTATCAGCTTTTTTGGATATCCCATATGCATTGATTTCCATGTTATAAGATCAGGAGATCTATGATAGGGTATGGGTTTTCAATATGTCATTTTTACACGAAGTAATTTCCATAAAGATAATATTTGAAGTAATTTTTAATTTTGTTTGCGACTCACACGTCAAGCTGTCTCTCACTCTGTAATCTCCACTGCCAAAACCAAGGTTTGTCAGGTTGCCATCTTGAGAGAGGAGTTAGGAAATTAAAAACAAAATAGTATTCTATTACTGGAAAGATCAAAGATAGAATAAGATACATGCAGTCAGTACATGTAATTATGTCACCATCATAAGTGGTGACATATTGTTGCATATTGTACATATTATCTTTTTGTGGATGGTATTTGATGGTTTGGTGGTCTGTAACAAAGGCAGGTGGTGACATTTTGCATTTTAATGCCTAATTGTAGTCTTTTTAATTCCATCTGTTTTGTCAACCAGAACAATGGTGTTGATCTAGAGTAAAGTGCTTGATTACAAGAAGACATTCCCCATTTTTGTTCGTCTTTAGAATGTTTCAACGCTGTAATATTCCTACTTATATAATTTCCTAATATATAATTTTCATACTACAAATGTACATATAGGTATTGTAAACTGAAGATTTCATGTATTTTCTTCCAGGTCGACAAACTACGTACAGTGACCAGCATGACCAACTCACTCTCCATGCACTCCAGGTCCACAGTCTCTCCAATCAAATACAATGGCCAGGATGACAAGATCTGGATCCCTGAACTGGAGAAGTAAGTATAGGATGAGTGAAAAAGGCTTAACCACTTAACATCTGATAACTGCAGGCCCGTAGCCTGGATTTGCCAAGGGGGGTTCACTTTTTGAAAAATTCCATGGGGGTTCACTTGTGACAATTTTGGTCCAAAATCACTTAAAAAGTGCTCAGAATGGTGAAAAACGGCATGATTTTGAAAGTTTTTTGGCCAGGGGTGGGGGGGGGGTTTGCTCGAACCCATCGAACCCCTTGTGTATTTATTCATCCTATGTTGTCTCAATTTTTGGATTCAGTAGTAGTCCAGCTATATTTACTAAGAAGTTTTTTGCACTTATGGGCTGATTTTTGAGAGCCCATGATAGGCTATAAGAGAATACCTATTTTGTGGAAAATAATTTTCTAGCCATGGGCATTCATCTAGTTGAATGCCCATGAATCAACCAACATAAAGTAATATGCACCCACATTTTGATTGTTGTCATCATTTCTTAAACAAGATGCATATAAAGGCTTATAGGCTAGTTGAGTTCACAAATGAAAACAGTGAAGAATCTGAACATCAGAATTGATGACATGCCAGCTCATTCTAGTTGTGTGGTGAGAGGCTGGGCTTGTGATCATTTTCTGGCTCACATGTTTATAAGCCTTTGGAATCACCAACTCGTTTGTCTGTCTTTCTGTACTTAACGTACAAATACAACTAAATGTATACTATCTACACGTAAAAAAAACAGAAGATTTCTTTATAATTAAGTTATTCCAAAATTAGAGGGATGAATTTTTGCGTCACCCTATATATACATTGAAGAACCATATTTTTCAGGACATTTGGGTTTCCAGCCCACTATACAGACATTGGCAACCTGTCTATAACTCAACGCCAAAAGCTGCTGGGCAAAACCTGGAGTGTGCCTGTTGTCAAACACCTGTTGACACCACTCAAACAGTTCTTCACCTCGATAGAGAATGACAGTGAGGAAAATACAAACTGAATGCTCCTATGATTGAGGCACTCGTGTGTGAAGAAACTATAATCAAAAACTCATTGACTTAAAGCAAGTGCTTGATAAACTCTAGTCGCATGTAACAGAATATATATACATGTAGCCTGGTAGGTAAAACTATGAAACTCTAACAGAATACAAGGGTTGAGAACAATTAGTGGCATGTTTTAACATTGTAAACAGGGAGTAAGTATATGAAGCAACAAGTATATTGTACTTGAAATCGATAGGCTAAGTAAGCTTTCATTGACAGATTGAAATTACATGATGGTAACATAAAAGGATTTAAGCATAAGAACCATAAGAAGATAATTATACATTAGGCCTAGATAAAAAATAATGTATCAAGTTAATTATATGGACAGTCACTAATCCTGAGCCTTTGAAGTGAGTGTTCAGGCGAAGTACATTTAAATAAGTGCGGAGGACTTAAATAATCTTTTAGTCATCACATTTTAAGCAAATATTTCTCTTATATATTTTCTACTGATGATGATAGAAATATTTTGAACAATCTATTTTTTCTATTGTATTAATTATACTGTTCATGAAAATGTAGTAAGTAGGTGCAATCGTGTACATCTGAAGTTGAGGAATGTTTATTTTGCACAAACATTAATTCTTGTTGAACATTCAGTTTTGTGAACTCTGATTTTAGTGTTTAAGTTTTGTTAAGTTGTAATCTTGGCAAAGATCTGATTTGTAGGCTCTAATAATATTTGCTCTTGTTTTTCAAATGAACATAACATCTTAATGAATACATTTGTAATTTAAATAACACTTATTCTTCAGATAAACATATTCCAATGAGTATAACTGATCTTAGGTAGACTTAGGCCCTGAGGCCATGGCCAAGGAATATACCTTAAAAATGTTTGAAAAATCCCCTGATGTACTGAGTTGGTAATTTTAAGTGTAGTGTATATGTAACTACAAATACTCTTCTCTACTACTGAATTTACTATACACATACTTACAGATGCAAAAGGCTTATAAAGATGATCTGATTGATGTAACACAAGATCTAAACTTAATTTCAGTACATTTTATAATTGTATTCCCTGGCCTCAGCTTAGGTCTATGCTTTATTTTAGTTTAACAATTTGTTTCACTGTTAGTTCAAGATTTCTGTATTTTCGTTGTGTTAATAAAAAGTTTTCATTTAATTTGATACATAAGTCTTAGCCTTTCCTTTATACTATTAGATTATCTCTAACCTTGCCCCAAGTCGGTCTCTTTTACTTATCTTAATTTCCTATTCATTTTTCACACAAGTTTTGCAATATTTCGACTTATCCTTTAAATCGTTTTCAAGCAACTGAAAATTGTTCTTATAATTATGACATCAGAGACTAAAACAATAGAAAAATAGACCATTATGTAATACAGGTGTTGTATTTTTCACATCATGATCAGAAATGAAATGCCATGGTCAGTCTTCTTAAATAACATTCAATTTGAAATTTTCAGAACTCATTTCCCTTCATGTTTTTATGGCACCACTACAAGTGGTCACATATTGTTATATATAGTCTCCAGCTTTTTTGTTGGCAGTTTTTTGGCATTCATTGGTTGGTGTTCAGGGTCGGTGTCTGTAACAAATGGCAAAGGTGACATTTTGCATGATGCTATTTTATATCAGGATTGATCTCTTTATCAGCTCAATAACAATTAATGAATAATAATGGCTACTGAGTGATCCAAAAATGCAAACCTCTAATTTTTTTTGTTAAAGATGCATTATGCAATAGGTTTTTTCTCCCAGACAATCGGAAAACCAACAGAACAACCAACTGTCAGACTTGAACCCCGGGAATTGAACACAGTTGAGTTTGCGGTGATCGAGGAATCCCTTTCAAATGACACGAGCATGACACAAGCAACCTATCAGATTTAAGGCCACTTTTAAATTTGCTGAATTAGATTGAAATTTAATTAGTTTCTACAAAAGCAGGCCTGTAGCCAAATCCTTCGTTTTCACCATTCTGAGCACCTTTTAAGTGATTTTGGCCAAAAGTGAACCCCTGGAGTTTTTCAAAAAGTGAACCCCTCTTGGCAAATTCTGAAAAGTTACTTGATTGGACTGTAGCAAAACTAGTACTGAAAGTGGTGGAGGATTTGTAGGGGATCTGTATCTACTTGTGCACAGATTGCGCTTCACACTGGTGATTGTGTTTATGGATTGTGCTTAGGCATGGACTTCTAACCAATCAGTTAAAAATTAAACTAATGGAAGAAGTAAGAACTTAATACTTTATTTGAAAGCCATCCAAATAAGTCAGAGAATTAGTTACTTGTGTTAATTTTGAATCTCGCGCGTTATTGTGGCCTTGTTTCCTTTCTGAAAAAGAGCTGTGAAAATGAAATAAGGAATTCTCATTTGTACCACTTCCGGCAAAAACAAATTCAAACATTTCCGAGTTGAGCAGGAGTTGAGGACCGAAGAAGATGGGAAATTACCTTTCTAGGGGTGAGCCAGAAACTCCCGTTAGGAAGGGAAAGAAAAGGAAACTGCAAGATGACACTAATATTGAACAGACTGATATAACAATTGACTTAGATACTCCAAAAAGGTAGGTCCCCATTTTTTTTAATTTTCACTTTTTCTCTTGGTCAATTTTTAAAGATTTTTGTTGCAGTATTTAGTATGGAGTCATATATTTAACTGTATTAATCAATTGAAAAGCCCCAGTGAAATACTTGAAACGAAAAAATGCGCATGGATTGTTCGTTTTTCTTTTCAATCGTTTCGCCCGTTTCTTCATGAATTGGTCATTTGATTGAAAACAGCTGTAAGGCGCAAAACTTATATTTCATTTTTGAAGGCATATCGATTGATATGTTTGAAATGCTCAAAATTACGTATAGTTTGGAACAAAAATAAATGACAGGTGGATTTTCTATCACCATTTCCTAACCATTGTCATCTGAATTCCCATAATTTCCAATATTGTCTTGATACATATCACTTAAAATTTGTCTATTTTACATCTTGTATTATCTCATCCACTGATGTATTGCCTCATGAAAATTCTCTTATTTTTAACACGGGAAATCCTCACTTCAACAAATCCCTCTGTCATTTATTTATGTTCCCTACTGTACATGCTGTAAGCATTGAAATGGAGGAAATGATGCATTCATTGAAACAGTTGAAATTATTGGAACGTAATTTAAAGGTAAATCAACAGAATAACCAACTGTCAGAATTGAACACAATTGAGTTTGATTGTGACATTTATTGAGGGAAAACGCTGTCAAGTGACACAAGCACACACACATCGGTAAACATGGGTAAACTCAACACTTGCCTTGAGCCAGGACGCCAATCAGATTCAAAGCTGTTTTTGAAAATAATTCGACCAGTCAAATGGTCAACACCATCGCAAAATTATCACATAAAGTGGCGGATTTAGGACTTCTTTGTTTGTAAGTATATAGGTGAATATGTGGTACGGCTCAAATGTCAAAGGTAACCATGTACATAAGTGGGAAACATTTCTGAGAATTTGACCATATTTTAGTTTTTAGGGGCTAACAAAGGAGGATTGGTTCCCAGAATGCGATCTCAATATTTTCTAACAATGAATCTAATCCTTAAAGCTGTCATGATTTTCACTTCAAATTTCAAATCGTGAGTTTTGGTCTTGTTACATAACTCGAATCTTTTGGATTGTTGATTATGAATTTATAACCAGTTTAATGTCACGGCAACAACAACATTGTTGGAAAATATTGAGATTGCATTCTGAGACCCAATCCTCCTTGGGGCAAACATACTACCAAATGAACCTAAATTATTCACCAGGGGCGTAGCAACTTCCTTCAAAATCACCCCCCCCCCCCTGGCTACGTCTATGTTCACAATCATACAATTCCTTTGCAAATTGGAATTTCATTTGTGTTGCAGGAAAAAACTGAAGTGTACTGCCAAGTACATCTATGAAACACTGTTTATCAATGGAGAGAATAGCGATATTACAATTGCAGCATTAGGAAAAGAATGGAATCTACACAGGGTTTACATACGCCAGGTTAGAAATATTTACTTACTTCAGTAAAACCTTAGTGATAACCTCTCTCTAGTAAATGCATGTGTTTAGTAAACAGTGGCGTAGCGTCGTTTACACAAAGTACGCAAATGCGTCCACTGGAACAATCCAATGTTTATCTGAATATTTGGAAATTCTAAGTTTCTCAAGTTTTAATAAGCAAAGCCATTGTTCAACTTTATCATTTCGTATCTTTGAAATATAGAAAATGACACATGAACAATTTACCATTAATATTCAAACAGCTGACAAAAAAATGTGAAGTCAGTATTAGCCTAAGTATTTGAATGGTAAAATATGCCTATCCCTAAGTTTCTGTAAAAAACATTTCATGTCAATACCATAATGTTATGATACTTTTTTCCCTTCTAAAAAAGTTGCAAATTTATTTGGCCCACCCTGTACATTGACTCCTGTGTTAAATCCCCTCTCTGTAATGAACACCTACCTACAGTGAACATTTTTTCGTGGTCTTACTGTATTTAGTTCTACTATTTGACTTCTGATTCAAGCATCAGTTTACTTGTAGTGTGGGGAGTTTTACAATTGTTTCCATTTATGTTTATGTTTTTACTACGCTACAATGCTAATTTTAGCCCTCTGAGTTTTCACTGGATATTGCTTGGCCCAGAATAAAGTCGATACACCGTTTAGTGCATGTAATGAAAAGCCAATAAGATTGTACAGCCTCAATAAGCGTCAATTTCTAAAATATAGCCTATTAGGCCTATATATAAACAAACTGGCCACATAACTTGAAGCTGGGTCTCACGCACTACTGTTTTTATCGCACTTTGAAAAAGTGCTATATTGTCGTCGTCTTGTGCTGTTGGGCGGGCGTGCGGATGTGCGGGCGTGCGGGCGTGCAGGCGGCACATAAACCAAATCTTGTCATCAAATTTCCAGTATAACTGCTTACCTGTTCAACTTGAAATTTTTACAGATGCAAGAGCAGACTAGTGCCAAGATCTCATTAGGTTAAGGGCATGCTGGGTAAACTATGTGGCGGCCATTTTGAATTTTTCAACAAATCTTGTCATCAAAATTCCAGGAAAACCACTTATCCGTTCAACTTGAAATTTTTACAGATGCAAGAGCAGACTATTGCCGAGATCTGATTAGGTTTTGGGTATGCTGGCTGAATTACATGGTGGCCATTTTGAATTTTTCAATTTGGCGGCCATTTTGAATTTTTCAACTTGCTCTAAATTGACCAAATTTTTTTTTTAAAAACATCTACAAGTTCTCAGAAGTTCAAATCTGACCTTAGATTTCAGATTTGACCTTTCATTCACCTTCAGTGACCTTGAAAAGGTCAAAAAAGTTGATTTTTATGTCACCACCAAAAGTGGTGACATATTGTTATGGTCTCCGTTTTTTTGCGACGGCGTCCGGCGGTTGGTGGTTGGAGGTTGGCGTCCGGCGTCTGTAACAATTTCTTACAACTTCCTATAACTTAACAAATACTGTTTAGACTGACTTTAATTTTTTTCTAAATCATCTACATGTTCTCAGAAGTTCAAATCTGACTTTAGATTTGACATTTGACCTTCAATGACCTTCTCAAGGTCAAAAAGGTCTTTTTTCAACTTGCTTCACATTGACTAAATTTTTTTTCAAAATCATCTACATGTTCTCAGAAATTCAAATCTGACTTTAGATTTGACATTTGACCTTCAAATCTGACTTTAGATTTGACATTTGACCTTCAATGACCTTCTCAAGGTCAAAAAAGGTCAAAAAGGTCTGTTTTCAACTTGCTTCAAATTGACTAAAATTTTTTTTCAAAATCATATATGTGTTCTCAGAAATTCAAATCTGACTTTAGATTTGACATTTGACCTTCTCAAGGTCAAAAAAGGTCAAAAAGGTCTGTTTTCAACTTGCTTCAAATTGACTAAATTTTTTTTCAAAATCATCTACGTGTTCTCAGAAATTCAAATCTGACTTTAGATTTGACATTTGACCTTCAATGACCTTCTCAATGTCAAAAAAGGTCAAAAAGGTCTGTTTTCAACTTGCTTCAAATTGACTAAATTTTTTATTCAAAATCATCTTCTTGTTCTCAGAAATTCAAATCTGACTTAAGATTTGACTTAAGATTTGACATTTGACCTTCAATGACCTTCTCAAGGTCAAAAAAGGTCAAAAAGGTCTGTTTTCAACTTGCTTCAAATTGACTAAAAAAAATTTTCAAAATCATCTACGTGTTCTCAGAAATTCAAATCTGACTTTAGATTTGACTTAAGATTTGACATTTGACCTTCAATGACCTTCTCAAAGTCAAAAAATGTCAAAAAGGTATTTTTCAACTTGCTTCAAATTGACTAAATTTTTTTTTCAAAATCATCTTCATGTTCTCAGAAATTCAAATCTGACTTTAGATTTGACATTTGACCTTCAATGACCTTCTCAATGTCAAAAAAGGTCAAAAAGGTCTTTTTTCATCTTGCTTCAAATTGACTAAATTTTTTTTCAAAATCATCTACATGTTCTCAGAAATTCAAATATGACTTTAGATTTGACACTTGACCTTCAATGACCTTCTCAAGGTCAAAAAAGGTCAAAAAGGTCTTTTTTCAACTTGCTTCAAATTGACTAATTTTTTTTTTCAAAATCATCTACATGTTCTCAGAAATTCAAATCTGACTTTAGATTTGACATTTGACCTTTAATGACCTTCTCAAGGTCAAAAAGGTCTGTTTTCAACTTGCTTCAAATTGACTAAAAAAAATTTTCAAAATCATCTACGTGTTCTCAGAAGTTCAAATCTGACTTTAGATTTGACTTAAGATTTGACATTTGACCTTCAATGACCTTCTCAAAGTCAAAAAAGGTCAAAAAGGTCTTTTTTCAACTTGCTTCAAATTGACTAAAAAAATTTCTCAAAATCTACATGTTCTCAGAAATTCAAATCTGACTTTAGATTTGACATTTGACCTTCAATGACCTTCTCAAAGTAAAAAAAGGTCAAAAAGGTCTTTTTCAACTTGCTTCAAATTGACTAAAAAAAAATTTCAAAATCATCTACATGTTCTCAGAAATTGAAATCTGACTTTAGATTTGACATTTGACCTTCAATGACCTTCTCAATGTCAAAAAAGGTCAAAAAGGTATTTTTTCATCTTGCTTCAAATTGACTAAAAAATTTTTAAAATCATCTACATGTTCTCAGAAATTCAAATATGACTTTAGATTTGACATTTGACCTTCAATGACCTTCTCAAGGTCAAAAAAGGTCAAAAAGGTCTTTTTTCAACTTGCTTCAAATTGACTAATTTTTTTTTCCAAATCATCTACATGTTCTCAGAAATTCAAATCTGACTTTAGATTTGACATTTGACCTTTAATGACCTTCTCAAGGTCAAAAACGGTCAAAAAGGTCTGTTTTCAACTTGCTTCAAATTGACCAAATTTTTTCAGAAGTTCAAATTTGACTTTGCAAGTTCTCAGAAATTCAAATCTGACTTAAGTTTGAACTCATAATATTGTGAGCAACTAGGTGGTGACATTTTGTCATGTTAATGCCTTGTCTAAATTGATATTTTGGATTTAAATTTAGGTCAGCTTAATTACTAAACACCTACTGAGGTCTGAAAAAGTGACATTTTCAAGGTTGAAGGTCAAGGTCATTAAACTAGGTCACAAATGATGTTATCCAAGTTTCTCAAAGTTTGAGACTACAAATCAATTCTTGTCATCAAAATTCCAAGGAAACCGCTAACCTGTTCAACTTGAAATTTTTACACATGCAATAGCAGACTAGTGCCAAGATCTGATTAGGTTTAGGGCATGCTGGGTAAGCTACTTGGCGGCCATTTTGAATTTTTCAACAAATCTTGTCATCAAAATTCCAGGAAAACCACTTATCCGTTCAACTTGAAATTTTTACACATGCAAGAGCAGACTATTGCCGAGATCTGATTAGGTTTTGGGTATGCTGGCTGAATTACATGGTGGCCATTTTGAATTTTTCAATTTGGCGGCCATTTTGAATTTTTCAACTTGCTCCAAATTGACCAAATTTTTTTTTTAAAAACATCTACAAGTTCTCAGAAGTTCAAATCTGACCTTAGATTTCAGATTTGACCTTTCGTTGACCTTCAGTGACCTTGAAAGGTCAAAAATTTGATTTTCTAAATTGATATTTTGGATTTAAATTTAGGTCAGCTTAATTACTAAACACCTACTGAGGTCTGAAAAAGTTAAATTTTCAAGGTCGAAGGTCATCAAATTAGGTCACAAACAATGTTATCTAAATTTTCCCAAAGTTCAAGACTACAAATAAATTCTTGTCATCAAAATTGCAGGAAAACCGCTTATCTTGTCAACTTGAAATGTTTACAGATGCAAGAGCAGACTAGTGCCAAGGTCTGATTAGGTTTTGGCCATGCTGGGTAAATTGCATGGTGGCCAGTTTGCTCTTCAAAGTGCGATATTTATCACTGTGTGTCTTGTTACATGTATGTAACATGAATGCTAATAGTGTAATAATGTTATACGTCCAGTAGGCACTTAGTACACGGGAAGTTATATAGGTGTCTTACTAGTCTTAGCTTATATCATGATGTATTCATATGTGGCCAGTAGGGGACTGAACAGTGTGTAACATCAAATATGTTCATTCTATTTTTGCTTTTGCTTTTACCCATTTTGTTATTATATACCTACAACTGTATTTATCTGGACATGTTTTTGTTTTTTGTTTTTTTCTGGAGAACAACAGGTAAGATTGGTACTTTGTAAAATAAGTTAAACACAGTGTATGACAGTTCAGAGGTACTCATCATTACAGTGTAAATATGAATATATTTTACTTAACTAAGTGGACCTTTACCTGAATTTTTTTTTTGCATATTTCTTGCTTTTATTTTAACTGGATCTCAGAGGCAGACACTGTTGAAATATATAGATGTCTAAATTCCCATCAAACTATATGGACTCTTTTAAATTGAGGTGCAGCTACATGTAGTGTTAACATT